GGAAAATTACAGTTTGTGAGCAAAGTTAGAAAAATAGAGGGTCTAGGCTTATTTCTTTTTCCTATGGAGACTTGACTGGGGGTTTCCACAGCCTCTTGGATCTGTATAAGAGTGTTTGTGGGACTTGGAACCCATCATGAGCAATATTTGGTCCTGGGCTGCTTTGCAAAATATCTTAGTGTATTAGGTGCTTGGGTATGGATATCTAAAAGCCTTGAGTTTGTCTATCTTCATTCCTTTGTGATCAAGTGATGAGCAGACTGTAAGAGGGACCCCCACAAGGATTGGAGGAAGAGGATGGAAATAAGGCCATTTAGGCCCTGGGGAGAAGACAAGTGTCTCAGATAAGGTCACCCTGGTCATGAGAATCATGGGTTGAACAGACTACAGCTAGGGACCTGGGAGGCACAGAGTGCTGAGCTCATGACTTCTTATTAGGTCTGAGTCAATAAGCACAGGGCGTCCAAAAGGGCCCTGGAAACACACCACATGCTGCCACTTGTGACACTCTCTGCTAGTTACCAGCTACTGGAGAAGAGTGGAAAGAAGAAAATGCCTGTCTTTGGATAAGATACTGTAAATTCCTGAGGATTAGGAAGGAGAGTTCAAAATGCCCAGAAACATGGAGAAGAAATCATTCATGCTCAAGGATGGAAGTAATACAGTGGTTTTGAGGCAGTATAGATAGCCTAGGCCTAAGGTATTGACCCTTCCCCCAGGATACAGAATGAGGCACATCCCTTCAAGGAAGTAAAACAAAGAACTGAACTGCATCTGATACCTGCAGTTAGAGATAAACGAGAATTAGTTTCATCTGGCAGAGCCAGTATCCATGACCCAGCCTAAACTTTAGCTAATTTTAATGTAATTTATATTGCAGTTGCCTCGACTCCCATCATGCACATGACGTCATGACAGTCCCGGAGGAACCGAGTAAGGACAAAAAGGAAAGGAGGAAAACGGAGATCCCACCCCTAAAGAGGAGGAGACAGGGTGATGTTCTTAAATTCCTGCCCCTCAGAGTGATAAAAACCCTAATCAGGACCTTCTGGGCAACTTGATTTCTGAGTTCACCCACACTTCCCTCTCAAGTGTGTACTTTTGCTTTAATAAACCCGTTATGCTTTCCCGCATCTGCGTTGCTCCTGAATGGTTTCCTGTGTGAAGAGAAGAACCTGGTTTCTGCTCCAGGTTAAGCCTGCTTGGGACATCCTGGGAACCTCCAGCAGCAGCTTTACATATTTTCAAAGGACAAATTTTTATTCTATATTGAATATTTACCTATAGAATATACTCAATAAAAGTTTAACAAGTAATTTAATTAACACAACAGAGAATTGTTTAATGTCAATGTCCAGATGCCAGATGTCTACTTACAGTAAAAAAGAAGTAGGAGCTGAATAAATATTTTTGGAGTATAAATTGTTCTTTGGTTCTCTTTCGCAAAGACTGTTTTATATTCATTTAATATATGTAAAAAACAAGGGCTAGAACACTTTTAGACTAAGCAGCATTTGGCAATTAAATCTTTGGTATCAGATGAGACCAATTTGAATCCTATTTCTGCCTCTTAGCTGTGTGACCTCTGAGGCACCATGTTCTCCTCTCTAAATTGGGTTAATAGTAGGAATTTCTGGGAGGATTAATTGAGATAATTCACGTAAAGCTATAAATCCAAGGCCTAATACATAGTAAATATTAATAATTATTATAATAATCATGGAGAAAATAAGACCAACAATAAAATAGAGCATTATCAGTGGTTATGTTCAGATTTTCCAAAGCATAACTTCACTGAGCTTTGAGAGCTGAAAGCAGAAACAAGGCCTAATAGCCTCACCAGCTAGAAATGACGTCCTGGCTCACAAGTGGCTAAAACTACATTTCCCAGCAGGCGCGGGGCCCCGTTGTCCTGTTTTCCCTCATTTCCGGGTCTGTCACGTGAGTCCCCGGCTGCACCATGGCGGAAGCAGAGGAGCAGGTAAAGGGTGCAACTGCTGGGCTAGGGAAGAGGAGATTAGGGTGAGATGGCCGGGGGTCTGGAGTGGAGCGTGTGGAGATGCAGAGCTGCGGAGCTGCTGGAGGCCGAGGCAGGCCCACCGCGGGGTTGGCGGGCTGCGAGAGGCCATTTCGGGAGCAGAGAAGGGGGCGGGATACCAGCTCTTGGAGGGCACCGGGGAAAGCCCACCGACACACTCCCGGCGTCGTGAGGCGGCCCTTTCTTTGGCTCTGCCCCCGTGGCCTGTGCTCGGTGAAATTTTGGCTTGAAGGCAGCCTGAGCTCCCAGGGACTGACTGCCCGTGAGAGGCGTAAGAGATGACTTGAGTTCTAGGCCAGGTGACTGAAAATTAAATTCCTTTCCACTGGAAGTAGAACAGTGAGAGCCGATTTGCAGGAGGGCTGGGAGAGAGTAGATGAGTTTTGTTTTGCATCTATTGCATTTAGGTGCAAAGCTGAGTCACTATGGCAGGTTATCTTAATATGTGACTTTAGGCTAGTTATTTTTAACTTTATAATTTAACTTTAAAATATGAGGTGAGATAATACAGTGCGGTCCTTCGAGGGTGATTTAAGTTGGAATGAGTTAGTACACAAAGTGCTTAGTAGAAGTTGGGCATAGTAAAAGTTACGAGGAATTATTTGTTGCTTGTAAGACATCAGATGGCAATGTCATCTAATGTCCAGTCACAACCTAGCAATGCGGCACTGGAGTTTAGGGTAGAAGTTGGTGATGGCAGTAGTTACTTTCATATAGGCAGTAGGGGCAGTCAGACATTAGTTGACATGACAAAGTAACATAAAGAAGACAAAAAGAGCAAAGGCCAGAACCTGGGGAAATACCTCAGTTTTCCATTTCCAGGGTCATTTCAGCTTAGCACTGTTAACACAAACTAACGGGGCCATCAGTTTCCATAATTGCCTCGAAGAAGTGATTTGATGATGAGCTGTTTAGTACCGTAATAACAAAAGTTTACCTAGTGCATACTTTGTACCGTTTGCAACATACTTCATTTATGTAATGAACATTTGCCCTGTGTACATTTGATTTATGCCAATAATTGAGAAGTTAGGTAGAGATTTGATTTGGGTGGTCATTGTGATAACAGAAGATTCCCCCCCTTACCACTGGAGCCTCCCTTTTCTGTTCCAGGGAATTCGAAGGAAAAGACTCATTAAGCACATGTAACTTCACGACTGATTGCTGGGTATGAAGATGGTAGAGAGATTGGTTTTCATCTTTCATTTTGAAATATAATTTTTTGGTGTGATGTAAAAGCAAAAAACCAAACTTCTTATGTTCTTAGATATAGGGAGGTAGAAATGGAGAGAATTCCCCTTAGTATTTACTAAAATCGTTTTGTGCAGAAGAGTTCGACACAGCTGTCTGACATAGAAAGACATGTAGAAAGTTAGTGATACAATAAGAATGCTTTCATTTTACAGCACTTTTCAGTTTAAAGAACACTTTCACATTGCATTTGTTCCTCACAAAAGAATTCTGTGTGGTAAGTGTTTTTTCTGATGTATAAGTCCAGGACAAGCACCATATTCCACATCTTCCAGTGGTTTCTCACTGCACTCTGAGGAAAAGCCAGAGTCCTTATAACAGCCTAGTTGCCCGATGGTATTTGCCCCAATTGCTCTGTCCCCTTTCTCTGACCTCATTTTTCACTAGTCATCTTCCCTTCTGTCACTTTGCATCAGCTCTACTGGCTTTCTATCTGTTCCTTTAACACCAGGCTGCCATGTTTCTACCTAAGGACCTTTGCTCATACTGTTCCCTTTTTTGACCCCAGATATCTACAGGGCTTTCTCCTTCATTTTCTTCATATCTTTGTCCTAGTGTTATCTTTTTGAGAGAGATCTTCCCTGAACATTCTTTGAAACATCTTTCCTGCATTCTTTTTTTTTCTTAGTGCTCATCATTCTTATTTTTTCTATATGTTTCTGTATTCATTTCTGTATATTCTCCCCATTAGAATGTAATATTCATGAGGGCAAGGATTTGTTCACTGCTGTAATCCTGACACCTAAAATAGTGCTTGATGCTCAATGTGTGTAAAATGATTGAATATTAAAGGTAAACGTATTGAAATTCAGACAACTTAAATAACTTGCTCAGACTTGTATCTATTAATATAATAAATCTTATCTCCTATCTTCAGAGCGCATGATTTTTCACTAGAGCACCCTGCCTTTCAAAAAATACTTAAGAACCTAATTCTAAATAATTTTTTTACTTTATGAAATAGAAGTAGCCCTTATTACCTTCATAAATTTCCTTCAAGTCATTATTTCATCTTTGATGTTTTAACCACCAACATATGATTAGAGCAGACATTCACCCCTCTCTCCTGCCTCCAGTGGTGTCATTGTCATTTTCAAAAATACCAGTAGCCTATTGTCAATAGCAGGAAGGAGCAAACATTCACAACTGTTGTTTTGTTATTTTTTAAAATAAAGCTAGTAAACAATTGTACCTGTGTTATCAGTCCTTTATGGATAAAGTTGGTTAAACTTTTCTCTGCTTTATTTGTGCATTTTGCATTAAAATCTGACCAAGTGAGTAGGCCTTTCTTACTGTTTTTTGGAGGCTAAAAGTACACAAAAGATGAATTAAATAAATTTGCTGATTGATTTGATTCTTTGAACCTTTTAGGAAATCTTGACATAATTTTTCCCCCTGAATGCTTTAAAAAGTGAGATGTGTTTTAGAAGTAACTGGAATGACAAGTTAGGGAAAAGGAAGCTTTTTTCCCTAGGCACCATGTACTATAAATGTAAACAAAACTAAAAGATGGTGAGCAAGACTAAACCTTCCCTATTAACTTTTCTGAGCATTGTGTTCTTTGGTGACTACTTTTTGGCCCCCCCTTTAATCTTAGAAAGAATCAAAATAGATCTGTACTAAGTGCGTTAACAAAACATAAAACAGTTCATAGACTCTCAAACTAAAAATCACTTTATGGATATGAATGAACACTTTTGAAGAATTATTGGAAAACCTTTGTTTATGCTGAGTATGGTAAAGGTAGTCCACAAAAATAACTACACAAAAGTTATATAGTTTACAGGAAGAACTAATATCCTGCCTTCTACCTGGAAATCTTCTAAACAGCAGTTTTACCTCGCACCAAAATGATTTATACTTGACCTTCATAATCACAGATGCCCAACAGTATTTGTCCATGCCTCTCTTACAAATAGCATTCTGCTTGAAGTCTGGTTGTTTGTGTATTTGTCTTATCTCTTCTACAGATTGCTGAGTCCTCAAGAATAAGAACGAGAGCTTACTCATGTCTGTATCTCTCACAGGGCTAGTGCTTTACAGGTACTAGGTACTTAGTAAAATGTTTAAATGAATTTATTAAGGGGAAAGTGTGAATTGAAAATGTCAAATTGTAAGTAAGGTTCAGTAGAATCTGTGTTGTTATTTTATCTTACTTGAAACTTTGGAAAATTACTAATTCAGATGTATTATAGATTACATTCCCTACACTCCATACTCTGCCAGTTTCCCAGGTACCCTTTCAAACAGCAGGGAACCTAGTCTGTTAAATATTCGCCCATTTAGACCATCTATTTCTTCACCAAATAGGAAAGTTTCTTTTTTAAATTCTCCCTCTTTGTTTTAGAAATTAGAGAAATTCGTCCTTATTGCAGGGCATTTACAGATTATCAGAGGCACGTTCATGAGCATGTATCCTCTCCCAGGTGTAAAAGAAACATCAAGTTGACAAATATTTGAGTGCCTTAGTTTTCTTGCCTATAAGCTGAGTATTTTACTCTCCAGGACTCTTGTGAGTATGACATGAGATAAAACATTTTAAAGTGGCCAGATTGTAACGGTTGTCTTTAAATAGGACAACAATTTATCACCCAAATGGGGGTTTGGCTTAGGTATGCACAAGTTTCTTTTCCTACAGTTTGGCTAAGACACCTTTTAAAAGCAACTTTACTAATAACTAAAGGAAAAACAAGGCCCCAAACAAGAAGTTGCAAAAGCACAGGGTCAGAGAAATTTTTAGGGGGCCCACTCTTTACCTTCATGTAACTATAGCCACGAGTTAGCTTAGCTGGAGATGCTTATTGCCTTGTAGTTTTTCCTCTCATATTTGTCTGGGTCGGTTGGCTGGAGTCTGATGTCACCAGCTGATGATTAGTAGTCTCCCTAGCACCCACATTGCCACGTTGGAGAGGGAGCCCTCATCAGATCAGATCATTCATGGCTGCTCAGTCACAGTTGCCTTTTTGTCTTCTCAGTACCTGGTCCTCCTTATGTTTTTGTTACCAAATACATGTGATTCTAGGCTCTTATGTATACCTACTGAATCAGAATCGATGAAAATGGAGTGTATTAGCAAGCATTAGCCAATTCCCCAAACTGAGTTTAGGTGGTCCTGATGCAAAATCAGGTTTGGGATTGGGTTGCTAAATCACCAAGTTGGGGCAGGCATCAAGGTTTGCCTTCAACTGCAGAATAAGATGAGTGCAGTAGCCAAGGCTAGTGGGTTGAACAGGGTTGGTAACCTGAGTCTCCTTACTTCTGCTAGCTCCTCAGGTATTCTTTTATCTTTCCTACTCAAACAGCTTAGTTTCTGGGTACCCAAAAGCTTTTTAAAATAGAGGCTCTGTGACACAGGGCTGTCAGATGCGTATCACACAGAAAATTTCCTCTTTGCCATGCCTATGTCAGACATCGGGAGCTATCCTACCCTCTCTGACATTAAGCTCTGCTTTGGCACACAGGTTGCTGGGAAGAGAGAGAAGGTGGCAGTCCAGCCGTGAGTGTCTCATGTCTGTCTCCAGCCTAGTCTGATATCCTGTGTCCTGGTCCCTGTTCCGTTTCTTCATCCTGCAGAGTTTGGAGCTGGTCTTCCTTAGGCGCCAGCTTCCTGTTTCTCTCCCCAATTCTGTTGTTTTCCCCCCCCAACAAACTGTGTATACCCTCAAAATTCCCATCCTGGGAGGACTTCCCATCCTGGGAGGTCCAGGCTTCTCCCTTCTGACCGACACTTTCTAACACCTCTGGCCTCTGAGGCCTTCTGTGCTGAGTGTTAAGGCCTACTGTGCTGAGTCTTCTCCCAGGTTGCTTTGTGGGCCCTCTGCTCATGTTAGGATTAAGGGTGGTGGTGGGTTGAAAGCCTTTATTGGAGGGGTCTTCTGAGAGCCCAACTAGCGCCTTTCCCCGGCTGCTGCTGGGTGACTAACGTTCTGTTTGAATAGCTCTCTCCTTGTGTGCTGCTGCCTTCCTTCAGGCCCCCCTTCTGTAACTCCTGTAAGCATGAGCTAATAATTCAAGCGTCTGCCTGGGGAAAATATACGTGGTATTGCTCTTAAGTGGAATCTGTAGAGGAGGGAGACTGCTACCATTTTAGATCAGCTGCCTATTTCTGATCATCGTCACCAGCAAATGGGGGTTCCTTTGGGTAGGATAGTGGGAAACAGAGCACCAAAAGGCTTTGTGTTTAGCCATGGTGTATTTTAAAGGATAGCCATTAGGACAAGGCTGTTAGTATTAGGTGTGAGCTGAGAGGTACAGAAGATAATCCTATTGGGGAAGATAATCCTGATTCAGGAGGTCATGTGGCAATGCACCAGGATCTTTAGGTTTGGGTAGATGATTGAGTTTAAGGGATTGGTTTGCAAGAGAAAGGTAAAGTGAAACAATTGCTGAGTTTAGCTTCAACCTGTTGCCCAGAATTTGTTTGGTTATACATTTGTGTCCCTGGGTACCTTCTAGCCCATCATTTTTGCTTCAACAAGAACAGGACATTTTTTTTTAACTGGAGTACAACATACATACCATAATATTCACTTTAATAATTTTTTTTTTAAGATTTTATTGGGGAATTGGGGGAGGGGAACAGCGCTGGGGAATCAGGGGAAGGGGAACAGACAAGTTGTTGTCCTTTTGTTCTTCAGTCTAGTTGTGGAGGACGTCACTTCACTGGCCCATGTTGGTATTATAATTGCGCTTTTCCCGGGTGAGGCAGATCGGTCACCGGCTTCTTGGTACGGCAGCTCTTGGCAGCTCACATAGGCTGCTGGCCACTCACGCTGGCTGCCAGCCACACACGGTAGCTTATGGCAACCCACTGCAACAGGGGCTGCAGCCTACACCGTCGCCGGCGAATCATGGCAGCCCAGCTCCAGGTTGAGCTGTTCACCATCTTAGCTGTAGAGGGCAGTGTCACTGGCCCTCATGTGGGATCCGAACTGGGGCCCTGCTGCTCAGAGCTGGCATCCCAAACCAGCTCTTAACCAACGTGCCAATCGGCCAGCCCCACTTGAATCATTTTTCACTGTACATTTATTTCAGTAGCATTAAGTACATTCACATTATTGTGCAATCATCATCACCATCCATCTCTATCAAGAACTTTTCATCATCACAAACTGAAACTTTGTACCCATTAAACAATAACTCCCCATTACTCCCTCCTCCAGCTCTGCTAACCTCTATTCTGCTTTCTGTCCTGTATAAGAGGAATCCTACAATTTTTGTCATTTTCTGTCTGGCTTATTTCATCTAGAGAACAGTACACTTTTACAGCTATATTTTCATGATTCAAAGTTGGATTCTTTGCAAGATAGAGTGTGAATTTAAAAATGGTGGAAAACCACTGACTCTACACTGTTTCTTTCCTCAAGGTTCAGCCTTGCTCCTTGGATCCCTCACTGAGGACATTCCCATCATGTCTTGTTTGTCTGTCTCTAGAGCATTAAGCGGAGGGGCTTGATGAATGAGTGAAGCTAAGAAATAACAGACCAGGCTAATTCTCGAAGTCACCAATGCATTGGGTTTGGGACAGTTGTGGACAGAAGTGTAATTTTGGGAGAGGGGTGCACAGCTCTGTTCGGAAGGTTTGTGCTGGTCCTTAGGGTAAGTCTGAGTGTGTCCTGGAGGAAATGTTCTCGATCCATACCAGCAGCCGCAGGAAGCACCTCTGAACGCCTGCTTTTCCCCAAAGACTCAGGTTGCTGAGATCTGCGTGCTCTGAGGTGTCAGATCCTGACACTGCCTGCCTTCCAGTGGGGGCAAGAGTGTAATTTGGTTTAGAGTTTTTGGATTGAAATTGCTGGGTGAGGACTTAGGTTTTTGTTCTAATCAAGAATGTGAGACATTTGCCCTTTAACCCTTGTGCATATTTGAATAGATTCCAAATTAAAAAAAGAAAATCTTTTGGTATAATGTAACTTTTCTGGAAAGAGTCAAGTGTCCTTTGGTACATTTGTCAAAGCCTGGTTTTGCTAATGCTTAAAACGTAATATTCAGGGACTGTCAGGGAAGGAATGGAGGTTAGAAGTTCAACCTCTAAGCCTCAGTGTTCTTATGTCAGGGGTAATTGGGACATTTCAAGATGCTACCTGTAAAGCATTTAGCAATATGGAATATATATAATAGATGTTCCAGTAAAGATGTCATAATAATGACTGTTAATATGAAGTGTGTGTGTCCAAAAGAGAAGGATCAGGAGCGTAAGTGGGGCTGTGAGCACAGGAGATAAATAGTTTAGAAGGGCAGGCATGATATGTATCTTTAACTCTGGAGAATTGTCAAATAGTAGAAGAATAATTGACTTTTTAATGTGTCGTATTAATGCTAAGAACAAAACGTTATTGTGGAGAGATTGTAACTCCAAATTAGTAATATCTTCCTAATGTAGAATAGGCTGCATTGCAACGTAAGGGAGATTTTTATATTCATCATGGTTAATGATATAACTACAATAAAATTTTTAATTGCATGTGACTTTCATCCCCATTTTACAGGTGGCTTTTGAGAGCAGGGACTGTGTGGTCCACAAGGCTGCTACCCAGGCAGCCTGCCACCTGCCAGGTTCCTAGTGATTTTCCAAGAATGAAGTTAGAATGTTTCCAAACACTAGATTTGTGTTTATCCGCTGTCCAGTTTGCATCTAACTTTAAAATGTTCATTCTTTTTTTTTGGAAAAAATATTAGTTATATCTAAAACGTCCTTGTCCCATTTTTTGTTCTTTTTTTATCTCATGGACTGTTGTAAAATGCTTACATTCGGTGTCAGCATATTAGTTGTAACCTTTTATTGCTATTGATATCTATAAGTACGTTAAGTAAATCTTCATTTTGCTGACCTCTTTGAGGATGCGTGGCATCAGCAGATTCTCTCTTTCAGTGGACAGGTGAGAGATTAGCAGGATCAAGTCAATTTTTTCCCCTTTTGCTTTGTTTTCTCCAGAGCAGCAAGATTCATGGTCTAGCAAGAGGGAAACATTAAATGGCAGAATTTGTCTTCCAGTTAATGGCTTAAAGAGTGGATGTAAATTATACAGCTTGTTTGCACGCTGTCTGATAGGTACCACTCTAGGGGAATTCTTTTGTAAAAGCTGTTTAAGCAAGACAATCATTTTGGCTCAACCAGATTAATAGCATAATAATTAATAGCTCAAGAGCTTTTCAGTATAAAAATTGGCTTATAGATAATTTGAGATGGCAGCTTCCTTTTCCCTTCTGAGATCAGTAGGGCTTTGCCAGGCTGCTTTGCGTTGTTAGAGAGGGAAAAGCACTCCCACGTACTCGGATGACAATTCCTGGGCTCGTTTGTTAACTTGCTGACCACTCAGGCGGGGGAGGTCAGCAGGAGCCGTGGGTTTGTGTGGCCCCAGAGTAAGCATCCCAGTCCTGCAGGGTGTGGAGAAGTGGGCGGCCTGTGACAGTCAGACCGTGCGGAGTCCTAATTTATACTGTAGTGGCAGATTACCTCTGAAAAGGGCAGCTGGATGTTGGCGGGAGGGACATGAGGACTCTTCCCTTGAAAATATTTTTCATTCTTTTGTCATCTGTTCTGACCATTTCCCCCTCTGTGCTTTGTAGGAAACCGGGTCTCTTGAAGAATCTACTGATGAGTCTGAGGTAAGTAAGATGATGATTCAACAGCCCGGGGATTTCTGGTTAACTACGTTATCACTGTGAGCTTGTTCTCCTTGCTGAACGCAGCCTTCCCAAGGCTGGGTGGTAAAGTGGGGCCACAGGTGACTGAGCCGTAAGAGAGAGCATGACAGTATTTTAAAACTATTAAATGGACTAGCTTAAAAAATGATCAGGAAAAGGAACAAAAAGTTTGGTCTTCATCTAGGACAGTATTTTATCCTGAAGCATCTTGGGCAGTGGGAAAATTGATGCAAAGTTTTACAAACTAATCTTGACATTGTAAGAACAAACTATAGATTCTGCAATAATTATTCTTTCATCATTCTTTTAATAAAGATGGCATGCTGATTGGTATAATTTCTGAATCATTGAAATTATAGTTTATTTCATAAAACAAAAAGGAAAGTAATTACCTTAAAAGCTGTTGGGAGCTAAGATTGTAATTTAAGGAGGAAAAAGTAATATATAAGGAAGGACTTTTTAAGAAATTCCTTTTCAAGACTTGCAGAAGAAATAAGTTTAAGCATAACACACAGATTAACTTGTCCATTTTTGTAGATGAACTAAATAATTATGTTTTTCCTTTTAATATTTCATTTAGCTCAGAGGAATATAAGTGTATCTATGATAACCTGCTAGAAATCCTCACTAGTATGATTGTAGCCATTATAAGTCTATTAAATTTGGGCTGCTATTGCATATAGTTATTATATAATTTTTGTTTGCTTCATCAGGGAAAATGTGGGCTTTCACATTTCCTCTAGAGAACATCTTGTATGGTATGCCATCCTGCATTTGTAGTTTGGCTAGAGTCATGGTTCCTAACATTTTCCTACTAAGGAACTCTGCTACCGCTTTATAGGGCTCTTGGTAAAGAATTTATGAGTTTACTTATAGGGAGGGTGTAATATTTGTTAATTTTTAATTAAGTATTTCAGATCACCATTCTATTTTGGGGTACCTCTGATTACTGGGAACCCCGTGTCCTCAGAATCACCGATACAGAAACCTGCAGTGTCAGAACTCGTCCAGGTTTCATTTCACAGGAGAGGAGGATGTTGACAGCCGCCTAAATGTAAATCTTTCCACACATCCCTCAGCTAGGAATGGATCCCAAGGAGAGCAAACAAAAGTGCACGGAGCCCGTGTTTCCAGCATGATCAGGAAGCAGGGAGTACTATGAACTGTGTGTAAACGCAGAAACAAATTCCTGAAACCAGCTCTGGATTGACCCTGGAGCTGAGAGTCAGATGGAGACTGGATGGAAATGAAGACTGTGCAGCTGAGCCCTGGAGGTGGCAGAATACCGATGAAAACCACCCCCAGGGTGGGGTCGTAGTGAGAACAGCCTGAGCCCTGGTGGATTCCTGCACTCGCCATTGGGGAATTTAAAGGAGGGGGCTTCAAGGTGTGTGGGACCAGAGGTGACAGTGTTGGGATGAGGCTGCTCCTGGAGAGGAGGTGAAGATCCCTTGGAGGAACAACAGTGAAGGGAAGAGTGAAAAGCAGGGGAGATTAAGGCTGCCTAGAAGTAAAAACTAGCATAGAATCAGGAGACTTCCTTACGCATCTCTCCCTCCAGCCCCTGGCTGCCGCCATTCTGCCTTTCCCTCTCCCTGCCCCAACCTCCCCAAAATGCCACATGTTACAGAAAACGCACTTTATTTGCCAATGTAACTAAGAGACCTAGTAAACCACCCAAATACCCCCCCATCTCCGTAGGATCACCTGTTGTCGCTATTCAGGAAAATCTGAGACATTTAAAAATTAAAGGTGAAGGGATTAAGATGTACAAATTTTCAGTTGTAAAAACAGTCATAGGGATGTCAAGTACAGCATAGGGAATATAGTCAATAATATTGTAGTAACTATGTATGGTGTTAGATACCCATCCAGACTTACCAGCTACCAGCGTGATCACTTCGTAAGTTATATAAATGTGTAGTTACTATGTTGTACACCCGAAACTAATATTATTTTGTATGTCAACTATAATTGAAAAAATATATAATAAAAAAAAAGAAAAATGAACTGAAATGGCAGGTAGCATTCCTACAAAACTACTATAGGCAAACAAACAGAAAGTGAGAATCAACAATTTTAAGCCAAAGAAACATTAACATAATACGCCATTATGAATCTTTAATCTGTAGGGTTATGTCTTTCACCAAATTTGGAAAGTTTTCAGCTGTTATTTCTTTGAATACATTTTCAATTCTGCTCTTTCTTTTCCTGCTGGGACTTTTAATATGGATGTTAGCCCTTTTGTTATTGTTCCACAGGTACCTGAGACTTTGTTCATTTTTTTCAGTCCATTTCTCTCTCGTTCACATTGGATAAATTCGATTGATCTATTCTCATGTTCATTGGTTCTGTCCCCTGTCATCTCCACTGTGCTATTGAGCCCATAAAATAAGTTTTTTATTTCGGTTATTATATTTTCCAGTTCTAAAATTTTCCATTTTTTAATAACTTTTATTTCTTTGCTGAGATATCCTGTTAATTCATTTATTTCAAGGGAATTTATAATTGCTTGTTGAAGCACTTTTATGATGGCTACTTTAAAATCCTTGCCAGATAATTCTAACATCTGATTTGTTCTTTACATTTTAATGGGAAACAACATTTAAATCATGGAGAATCATCAATTACTTCAATTTTTCAGCTCCACTTACTGTGTGCCATGTGTTGTCTGAGTACTTGATGTGGAGTATCTCAACTTAATATGAACCACAATCTTATCAGTTAAAATATGAGACAGGAGAGGCAGGCTGTGCTGCAGTGACAGTTCCAAAATTGTAGTGGCTTAACACAGCACAGATTTATTTCTGAATAGATTTAGTGGTTCCAGATTCAACAATACAAAAATGTCATCATTTTCCATAGGGTGTTTCCTATTTATGGACTAGTAGGCTATGGAATACTTGTGTCATGCAGCTGGAAATGGAAGCAGCTCTGCTTCATGGAGATAGATATTTTTTTCAAACCCTGCTTACTTTGAGTAGGTTCTTGGTATATTATATGAGGTCGGACAATTAAGTTCGAGAAGTCATCCTAGAAAAAGTGCTACATATCTCATTGCTGAATATCACTATGGTCGCTTTCGAAGTACTCCCCTTGGGAAGGTTTGCACTGACGCCAGCGCCTAGTCCACCCTTCAAAGCAATTTTGAAACTTTTTCTGGAATCGCCATCAGAACTGTCATTGTATTATCCTTGATGTCCAGAATGTCATCAAAATATCTTCCTTTCAGTATTTCCTTTATCTTTGGGTAAAGAAAGAAGTCATTGGAGGCCAGACCAGGTGAGTTGGGAGGGTGTTCCAATACAGTTGTTTACTGGCTAAAAACTCCCTCACAGACAGTGCCGTGTGAGCTGCTGCTTTGTCATGATGCAAAATCCATGAATTGTTGGTGACAAGTTCAGGTCATTTTTGTCTAACTTTCACACAGCCTTTTCAGCATTTCCAAATAGTAAACTTGGTTAACTGTCCAGTCGGTACAAATTCATAATGAATAATCCCTCTTATATCAAAAAAAGGTTAGCAACATTGTTTCAACAAGTCTGCGAACTTAGTTGTCAGACCTCGTATATTTGGCAGTGTATTCCATTTTTTCTTAAAAGAGTTTAGTGTGTTGTACAAAGAACTTTTCAATAGAAGCATCAAATTGTGAGCCTTACATTTCAAGATTAAACTTGCACAGCAAAGAAAAGAATAACAAGGGGGAAAGCCACCAGGCTAACGGGGTGGTAAAGAAATAGAGGAGAGCCTAATGGAAATTGGTATGTAGTGAGGTCTGTTTTATCAGGTGTGCGTTCCAGCGACCTTTGGTTATTCGTAAAAGCAATGGAATAGTTCAACTAAGACTTATTCTGCCTGTAGTGTGTTCCTTTGAAGCAAAGATTGCATGTAAATTACATTACCCCTTGCCTGGGCCGAGTTATGTAATAATAGTTAATTAATGCCACCTCTGTCTTTATAACATTTGTTACCATTACTAATAAACATGCCTCCTAAACAGATGTCCATTCAGTCTTGCAAATATCACATTTAGGAGGCCTTGAATTTGTTAGATATATTAATTTTAATAAACCAAGTGGGCTGAGAAATAGTTGAACAATATTAAAATAAATCTACATGCAATTTATGTTGAATGAGAAATTAATAGTCAAATAAAGTGCAACTTCTAGATGCACCAGACACAGCAGTGCTCTTTTTTAATTTTGTTAAAATGAAAACCAGTCATTGTGAGAAATCAGGAGATAGCTTTTTTTTAATCAGAAAATGCATCACACAAAAATAATTTATCGTACCTGGTGGGTAGCATATTATGAATCATTTACTGAAACTTAAATTGATTCTTTACACATATTAATTTTAATAAACAAATTGATAGCAACTGGTAACTATGAGATTGCTGAGAAAAATGGAGCGTGAGTTATAATATATCCTGCCAAATAGCCTTTGGATTAAAAATTTGCTTTCATTTAATGAGCTATTAATATTAACAGGTTCTGATGATTATTGCATCATTCAGGCATGGATAAACATTCCCTTTGAAGTATGTATTATAAAAATTATGTTTGGAAACTTAGTAGAAACTTGCTGGATGGAAATACAGCTTTGGAACCTGTATTTCTTCTGCCATTTGTTAGAGATTGGAAAGGTGGGCATGACTCTGGTATGATATATCTTTGAACAGAATTTATAATTTCATTACCTAGGGGAAAAATTATTTTAGGCAGTCCAAGATAGACTGATTGATCACTGTATTCATTCAGCAAATATTTATTGAGTATTTTTATCTTCTGGGTGCTAAGATACACCAGTATTTGATGACAGAGAGAGACAGTAAGCAAAAACAAAAAACTGGGTGGAAATACATGTTATGGATAAAAAATAACATTGGGTAAGGGGACCGTGGAATAGGCTGAAGAGCTACTGTTTTCTTCTAGGTGGTCAGGCAAGGCCTCTCTAATAAG